GAAGTACGACAGATTTTATACTACACAGGACGCTACGACTATCGAAAGTGGCACCCTGGTACAAGGGGCTTTGCATTGTTCCTCAAGAAGCTGCCTCACCGAGGGGCACATACCAAGTCCATCGGTAGAGTGACGTCATGCCGAACGCGGAGATGAAGAGCAACATATGGCCACTTCGGACCGGTAGCCGTCGTGAAGGCATGCCGCGAGGTTCGATACCTAATCGGGAAAGACCGGCTACTTCGGTGTGGCTTGGAGCGAAGCGCGCGCTTGGCCGAGCGGCGTCAAGTGGCCCTATTGTTCGCCGAATGCGGAAGATGTCCCGGGATCTACGCGCGAGGCATCGGGACGACTGTGCCGAGCTTCGAGCAAGCGTCGCGCACCGTCGAAGATGTCGAAGAGCGTCGAAGGCGAAATCGAACTGTTGGGAGACTGAGTCGAAGTGCCGGGCGGGATGCGAGTGCCGAAAAGAGGTGTATCGGGGCCCAGAGGGGCTTGGCGCCTATCACCGGGAATATCGCGTCAGATGGAAGGGTTACTCAACAGCCGATGACTCATGGGAGCCCGAAGCGAACCTGACTGGGACGGCAGACGAAGTGTTGGCAGAGTATAAGAACAGGAAGGACTTGAGCTGAATCGATAGCAGCTCTACCCAGCCGCTACACCCCCACTCACACCGACATGTCTTCCACCCTCTTGTTCCTCGACCAGTTCAATGCCCCCTCGACCGAAGGCGGGAAAAGAATCTCAATCTACACCCCTAAGCACACCCACGTCGGCGACAGCACCTTGCTAACATTCCTTCTCAGTAATCCCACCGATGTTTTCAACAAGCTCAAAGCCCACAACCCCAAGGCAACCAATGCCACCAACTGCGCTGCACTAGAAGCGTATCTCTCCGCCCGCCGTGAATACGACGAGGCTGTCAAAGCAGCCGACGAGGCCATCGACCACCACAAGCGGCTCCTACGCCAACAAGATGACCGCGTCCTCACCGAGCTCATCCGGCTCGACAATCTGAAAGTTGCCCATCGCTTTCAACCGCTCCTACCGCGCAGCATCCGGGCGCGACACAACAAATTCATCCCGTGCGCCATCCCCAATGCGTACCTACCCCTACCCGCACCCCTACCGACGTCTGCCTTCAGGCGCCCCCCGATCCCATCCCCTTTCCTCCAAGCAACGCCGCGGAGCACTACCATCCCGGCTGACTGGCAACCCAACCCTGGTTGGACCCCGAAGGGAAGCTGCAGACGATGCGGATCGTCTCGACACTGGGTACGGGACTGTCCGGACGTACGATGTGCAGGATGCGGAAAAGAAGCCCCTGGACACCTGGAGCGAGAGTGCGGAACCAGGCCGATGAAGCAACACGTATCCGCACCACCTGAAGAACCTGTGCGACGCGTGGGGGTCGTCGTCGACAACGTGTTCCTCGAGGAAATCATCAACGAGGCGAAGGAGAGGAAGGAGAAAGAAAGGCAGATGAAAGCAGTACCTATTCCTCCACCGCGCAGCGCTAACCCCGAACCCCCAACCAGTCCCATTGCGGGACCCTCGCGCCCCCGCCCCGATACACCCATCGTCTTTCGCAAAGTCGACCCTGACTGGACACCCGACACCACTCAATGGACGTGGGACAGCTCCTGGCCGCATCAGAAGCACCTCTCTGGCGAGGAATGGAAGAACGTAGGGAGGAACGTGCGCAAGGAGTGGTTCGACGAAGAGGAGGACAACGGCGTAGATTGGGAGTTGTACGGAGATGGTGAGCAGTAAGTAGTCGAATGGGACTTCGACTCTGGTAGGGGGGTAATGAAACATTTGTCTTTCCGTTCTATTCCTTGTACTACTAGCGCCCATACTGGCGCCGGTCTTAGCGCTCACCCGCAGGTTGAACATTATGTAGCTTACATAATGGGGTCCGTGCGCACTTCGTTCCTGGTATCGTACCACTACGTTTCTTTCTTCACTAACACGACCACATAGACACGATGGTCCGTGCGCAGTCGGTACTTGTATAAGTAGTTGTACTATTAGTCGGTCGAACCCTAAGTTCGACCTGGTTATTCATTCAAGTCTCTGCTCCTCTTTGCTTGGGGTAGTGGTCATTCTCGACTTCCTCGCTCGATCTTCAGGACGACGTACTGTCCATAAGTCCTCGCTCGTCGTCTACGAGTCAGGCATTGATATAGGAGTATAGACCGTTGTATCAGGTTCGGTTTGGTTCAGTTAGGTTAGGATTAGGTTAGGATTAGGTGGTATATCTTTAAAGCACTGCTTTTACTACATAGGTTAGTGTGATTGAGGCCTGTTAATAGAATGTTTTGATTTGAGGCCAAAAAATCCATATAGTGAGTCCTGAAATGTTGAAATAAGCGAAGTAAATTATTATAGAATAGATCATATGACTATGAAAACATCGGAGCATGTGACCATAGGAAGCCCTGAGCATGTGACCAGGAAACTCGGAGCATGTGACTAAGAGCTGTCAATACTATTTCAAGTGATCCTCTCAATGCATCTACAAGTAAGTGCTCTAAGGACAGCTTTTGATGTAACAGCAGCTGTGCTGTCATGACGGGTGTATGATGTATAATTATGACCTGTAGGCCTGCTGCTTCAGCAAGCTGCTGGTGCCAATGCTGGTTCAGCACGATCACAATGTGTGGTCACGGGCAGATGTCGCAAGCGTGATGCCGATATCAACAGTGTCAGTCGCTTGTTCATTTGGTGAGGGGAGAGCGGCGGGAGGAGATAAGAGTGTCTGGGCATGACGAGTTATGGAAGAGGTCCTATAATGTACCCCTGAATCTAACCACGGTATTACATGAAGGTGGACGTCCATGATGCGGCCAGGCTCTAACCAATGGAGGAAACTGCACTGTTTCGGGCAGCCATGGCAATAGCATGCGACTCGATGTGGATGTGAGCTCCGTGAGGCGGTCGCGTGCATCCCGCGACTCAATAATGTCCGAGATTAGGATCCGCTCTGCCATCCCGGGGACACTTCTCCGCGGACTGCGGGTCAGCTACCTCTGAAAACTGTATCCTTGGCCTCCTCTGACCACCTACAACGGCAAAGAGTACGAAGTCGAAGCCGCTAGTCCCTCTGTGGACAGCATGGTGGCCGCGGCAGTGCGCATACAGTCATTCTCTTAGGCATGATGCTACCTGAGCGCACCGCAGTTGGTTGCCAATACAAAACCCCAGCCCTCGGTGATCACCATGAGAGAGCCACGACGGGTGGCGTTCCGGCTTGAGTAACGACATCAGAAGGTTGTTTGGCCTTGTTATATTCCAAAGCCAATAGCTTCACCACTCATGTTCTCTTATACGGCTCGACGACCGCTCTCAGTCTCTGACACACTTCGGGATTTTCTGTCGGCATATCTCATAATGCCTCATGCATCCTAAGCTTGCGCTGAAGTCGCTCTTTCAATGTGTCTCCGGTGTCCAGACACTGCCAGTGCTTCGTATTTGACGACTCAGGATGTCAAGCCCGCCTTGTGTGTACATACTAGCCTGTCTCTTATGTGATGTGTTAACAAAACTTACTTGAGTAGTGGCACAATTTCTCTCGCAGTCAGCAATCTAAATTCAATATGATCCTCTGATATTTCGGTACAATCGGACAACGAAGGGTCTCCTCCTGCACAGCGTCACCTCAAAAGAGATCTCGTTGGACACATACATTTCATGCGTGAAAAAAAGAAAATTCAGAAGCAACGTCACCAGGTCCTGCTGTATCTAGATGAATACATATCAGCTCGACCATAAATCTCGCAAAAGCTGATCGCGCTGACTTGTAGTATATAGATCTCGTACACACTTCGTAGTATCAGCGAATATGTGCCTCCTCCCCTACACTCAACTAGTGCCCTGTACAGAAAGGACCGGAGAGGAGACGATCGGAAGCGAACGCGATCATGTGGCCATCAGGATCTCGTCAATATGTCGCGCTCACGCTGTCTCGCAGCGGCATACATTCTACTCCGGAGTGTCTCGAGAGGGCACACCCGCTCCGTAGGACCGCGAGTGGCGAACCTGCCTTTGTTTGGTCATCAATCACAGACGCTAATATACCGGCGGCAATCTGCCCTCTGTAAACACGGGATCAGGCTAATTGATCACAATGACAGCTAGGTCTAGTTTGATAAGTTTGAGTTGTTCAATTCGAATCGAAGAAACCACAAGTGAGAAATATGTGTATGAGATTCAGTATTAATGATGGTAGCATAAGCTATGTTCTACCTCCCTCCGCTGTGACAGTTCATTATGAATCATGGCTTTCAGGTTGGGATCATTTAACCGGTCTGTTAGGCAGATCTTCCCACGCGACGACAGTGATTGATGCCGTGCAATGCGCCTGTCTGCATCCGAACTAGCAATGCGGCCAGGAACAGTGACTAGCAAGACACTTATGAAAAGACATGGCATTGCCAGAGAGAGCCTGGACTGGAGTCCACCTCCGCTACCAGAGCTGCTTGCCCTTTCTTCCAGCTCTTCCAGTGGGGCCGTTTGACTCTGGATGACTTTCCCGTCTCTGCTGCTTCTGCTTTTCGTTGCTGGTGCGACATTCCACGCCTCACGCGCACAGGGGGCAAATGTCACGGTGACGGCGGACAACGCGCTTATCAACTATGTCGGTTCGTGGATTGTCCAGGACGACGGAGGACACAAGTACGCGTCGGGTCCGGGCTGCTCGCTCTCCTTGACGTTTCAAGGTGCGTGCGCGCTCGCTCAGAATTCTCGTATGCGCTGAACGGTCTGCTGTTCGTATGCGCTGAACGGTCTGCTGTTCGTAGGCACAGCGATCTACTGGAATAGTGCACATAATCCGAACGGCGGGATCGGCAGGGTGTCTGTAGACGGCGAGGATTCGACTGATGTGGACGAGTCGGTGGGGACGGAGGTGGGTGAGGCCTCCGTTGAGGCGACGCTTTGGGGGAAGACGGGCTTGGACGGGAGCGTGAACCACACGTTTGAGCTCGTGTATGTCGGCGCAGGGCAGCTGGGTGGAGGCTACCTGGAGATTTATTCGCTCGCGTTGGTGTCCACGTCTAGATTAAGGAGAAGCAAAGCTGACGGGTTTTGATGTGCAGGTATACTGCGGATGACACGACGGAAAGCAGCGTCTCGAGCTCTTCGAGCAGCCCTGCAACGAGCCCTGCAACGAGCCCTGCGGCAAGCCCCGCGAGCAATGGCATTGTGCCGAGCCCTTCGAGTAGCTCTGCCAGCGATGCCATTGCGCCGAGCTCACCCGGCGGCGGTACATCAAGTAAGCAGATCTTCAGTACGACTGATCACCAGGGTATCTTTTTCATAAATCCTTTCTATATAGCCTTTGAGACATCGGGCACTTCGCCAGCTCCTTCACCATCTTCAACAGTCGTCGGTGCGAACTCGCACTCAGCCTCTGGGAGCTCCAACAAAACCGCACTAGTCGGTGGCGTCGTAGGTGGCGTCCTTGGGGGCCTTTTGCTCGCTCTCGTCTGCACTATTCTGGCGTTCTGGATCTCCCGGCGTAGGCGGCGTATACGGGAAGAGAAGAAACGCATCGATGAAGGTACGTCAGCCGCGTTGTCCTGTCCAAGCTCTCATCATGGCGACTGCAGAGCATAGAGCGAATCCCTACCGCAAGCACCGTGACATGAGCGCACCCTCGCTCAGACCATCGAGCGACGCCTACACGTCCCCGCATACCCTCGTGAATTCACACGTGCCGACTGCATCTTACCAGTCAAGCAGTGAACCGGTCTCGTCAACGCCGCCGCTCTCTGTCATTCAGATACCGGCGCCTCAGCGTGCATGGGATACATTAGCGCCCCTGCCTGCATCGTCCGTGTTGGACTCTTCGGATGCACAATCAGCGATAACGACGGCTGACGCGAGCTTAATCGGCTCGTCTTTTTCTCCACGGACACCGCCTCCGATGTACGTGGAAAGGGGCTGAAATGCACGTATGTCTTCAGGGTTTTATTCTCTCGGCTGCGTGATTATGAAGCGCAGCGTCGTTTCGTCACACTATCTTGTGGCGGTCCTTGGACATATTTAATCACTTGAGCTACTCTGTATCGTTCCGTCTACGTGATTATCAAGCTGCTTAATGTGTGCACTTTCCTTAGCGTATCTAATCTCATGCTTTGTAGGCGATGAAGCTTGTGTCTGGACTGCGGCGTTACGCCTTAGCATTGAGTCAGTCCACTCGATGGAATGTGAATAAACTAGGCCGCGCGATCATAGCCATGATCTCGCAGGAAGAAAGCTGGAAATGTAAAAAGGCGTTTCTAACCTCCCTGCATGGATGTAGGCTGCAAGTGCAGCCTGCTCGACATTCTGAGACGTGCATAGAAATTGTGTCGAATTATGTCTTCCATGCAAAGAGGGGATATTTCTCTTCGTCCTGGGGGCGAGTAAGCAGTTATCATAAGCAGACTTGGCTGGTGTGCGGCTCCGCATACATCCGGCGCTGTAGCCTACTGTGTATCTGAGCCGGCGTTCCTAATTGGGACCTATGCCAGAATAAACTCACTTCCTTTCTTCCTTCCCTCACAATCTACCGACCTGTCCGCACTTTCACTCAGTAGTGCACTGCGTACTATCCTTGGCATAATATTCAACACGGCTTGCGAGCAACTTCTCCACGCTGCTCGCACCGCATAACATTGTTGCAAAAGGGCGATGCAGGACATCGGGAGCCCGGAGGCGGTGTGACGCTCAGCCCGAGCCTCAAGACGGATGTACATGTAGGTCAATCTCACCGGCGTTAAGGGGCGTACCCAAACTCTTCGTGGATCTGACACCCTAAACACTGACAGAAGACGAGTAGTAAACCTGTCATTGTAGCTAGAGTCTTAGAATCAGGACTGCGGACTCGAAGACCAGTCGTGAACAACACATTGTCCATTTGGTGCTTGACGCACAGGGCATAACGCGACCCGGATCTTCTATTAGACATATACTGTGTCCTCGCATACATGCAATAACTTTACGGAGAGCTAGTCACGTAAGTACACATCACCCGGTCAGCATGTACTCAGGTGCCTTGGCGGGATGGATGACGATGATTCTTTGGTCAGTGAATTCCTCCACGCTGAAGTTCCCATAGCCCGATGCGCCGCTGGAGAGACGTTAATGTCACGTATTCTCCATGCCAAAGCCTGTGAACGTACCTGAGGCCCCCAAGCTCCCTTGCCTGCTCCAAATGGAATGTAGGTCCGTTAACGCTGACACTCCCTGAAACGACACAAAATCAGTATGTAGCACTCGTATAGGAGAAGAATGAACTGACCCGCTCGGATGCGCGCGGAGACATCTATCGCGTTGTTCACGTCCTGCGTCCAGACACTCGCAGCCAGAGAATATTCAGAGGCATTGGCTAGCTCGACTGCCTCATCCACCGTATCGACCTCCTTGATCACCGCGACTACATCGCCGGTGCGTCAGCGCGTCCCCACGATACATTCGCAATCGACCTACCTGGACCGAAGGTCTCCCTATCCCACAACCTAGTGCCAGGCTCCACGCCCGTCACGAGATGCGGCTGTACACAAGCACCCTTCCTCGTGCCATCGCCCACAAGGAAGGTGGCCCCCGCAGCCTTCGCCTCACCCAGCGCGGCAACAATGCTCTCAGCGGCTGCCTCGCTGTACTGCGCAGAGAGCGCCTCGCCTTGGCCAGATTTGAACTTGCTGAACGTTTCGGCCAAAACCTGCTTGAACCTCGGAGCAACATTACGCTGGACGATTATGCGCTGGGTGGACATGCACGTCTGTCCTGAGTGGAGGAGCGAGGACGAAGTAATTGCGCGAGCCGCGCGCTCGACATCGGCATCATCAAGCACCTTCGGGATGATGAGCCCGCTATCTCTTACCAGAGGCCTGCGTTGCGACATACCACAGCAGGGGCCTTGCCACCGAGCTCGAAAACGCATGGCTTCAGATACTTTCCAGCTTCCTGAGCAAGGATCCTGCCGACACGATCACTTCCAGTAAACTAGAAAGTGTGCGTCAGCCACTTTCCCTGCGCTAGAGTATGTACTACACTTACGTTGATCTTCTTCACAGCAGAATGAGCAATGAGCTCGGCGGTTCTCGCCGGAGCATCCTTTGCGGATGTATGGATCACGTTCAGCACGCCTGCTGGGAAGCCCGCCTATTGCAATATGTCGATCAGCAGCTGACGGTGTAGCGTTGCAGCAAAGACATACTTCCTCGAAGAGTTCCGCTATGACAAACTGTGTCCGCGGGCTCACTTCTGATGTTTTCAGGACGACGGTGTTGCCACAAACAATCGGGATGCCGACCGCGCGGAGAGTCAACACCAGCGGCACATTCCACGGCGCGACGGCCAGACTATATTAGACCCCTTCAATCACGTAGCCGGAGCGCAAGTCGTATGGAAGGGACCTTACATGACACCTTGGGGTCTCCGCTGGACGAGAACCTGGCCACCGGGGACGACGGATGGGAATGTCTCGCCCTTGAGCTGTGCGACGAAGGTCGCAGTGTTTCGAAGGAAGGCCGCCGTCCCATACACGTTCAAGTAGACGAGGGTGTCGACGCCGGCGGTCTCCTCCTGGAACGCCTCCTTGAACTTCTTGAAGTACTTGTCCGTCGTCACAAGCTCCGCCGCCTTGAAGAAGTAGTCGCGGCGCTCCGCGTACGAGGAGGTCTCCCAGGTAGTGAATGCACGTGCTGCGGCCTCAACCGCGTCCTTGCAGTCCTGCGCAGACGCGGACGCGGCCTTGGTCACGACCGCATTCGAGTAGGGATTGCGCACATCGAAGGTAACGGGCGGGTTCGCGGGGCGCTGTTTACCGTCGATGAAGAGAGAAGTGAAAGAGACGTCTGTCATGATGACTGCGGCACTGCTGATCATAGTCTGATCCCGGTATATATATGCATGTTATTGCACTATTACGCACGACTCTCGGGATTTTGATGGCGGAACCAATGTTCGTTCTGATTGTCGCTCGCCTGCCAGACCTATGGCCGTGCTGTTGCGTGTCGCAAGAATAACGCAGGGCCTTCCGACACAACGTGATTCGGAGCGCCATGACTGAGAGACGCGCAGGGACGGTGACACAACCTGTCGCGGATGTATACCTGCCATGCGCACCGATCGATCGAGATGTACTGCGGACATTCCTGCTTCCTCGACGGCTGAGATTGGATCTCAGAATCAATGACATGCCCGCACACGGCGATCCTCAAAAAGCAGGGGTTTCACAGGATGACACAGAATGCAGAAGGCACTGTTCTCCTGAATAGAAGGACATCAGTATTTTCTTGCCGCGTTTGGCGGGGGCTTCGTTCTGTTTCATCCCGGAGTCAACCTAGACCTAACTTCCCACTTACACACAATCATCGGTCCCCGAGTGTCTTTGGAGATGGCCTTGTGAGGCGCGGACACCCCATGTCCTTAGGCATCGGTCATAACCCTCCCGAGCGTGACGAGCTGAAGATTTGTGGGGCGCATGAAAACCTTGAACGTCGGCCATCCGAGGTAGCTGGCCGATATCGTACCTCGGGCGAAGTAGCCGCTATTGTAAGGCTCGGGCACCCATGCGGCCTGACGTGCCAAAGAAGCCGCGGGCTTTATTGACAGATTGCACTTTCAGACATCGTAGGTTCCCCGCAATATGTGTGTCAAGGCGTTGAGGTAACATGTTGCTCTCCAGAAAAATAAGCGATCTGCAGGTATGAAAAGTCATGATCCATCCCCGCCATAGCAACATTCATCTTGCTGTTCTCTGAGCTCGAGGCGCGTACACTAGGTGACTCGATACTTGCGGGAGGCAGAATTAAGAATGGCTAGTAAACTGCCATCCTAGTCTGAGGTTTGTTTATGACGGTCAGCGTATCGTGACGACCACTTGAAACAGGGAAGCAAAAGGCACGCACCAATAGTCTTCGACGCCCGGCGTAGAATTGGTAATTTGGGTGTCTGCGCTTAACCTAACCGTCCTCGCGGGCTACATAGCGCTGAAATGGGTGCCTGCTAGACCAGGCCTCGCATTCAGCCAGGCAAACTCCGATTGAAGGCAGAACGTATGACACGCGATTGGTCTAGCAAAAAATAATTCGAGAAGATGACTGTATGGTCCCCTCTATAATGCACTGCCGAAGGGAGAGTCCCAGGGAAACGACGATAATCCGATCCGATGTATGAATTATAGGCGAATGATATACAGGCACATCTGGGAGTGGGTCGCGCAGCAGACGGGTATAAAGGGCGAAACGTTATGTTTTAAATATGATGATGAGGATCAGAAGCACCAGGATGAGCAGCGCAATCAGCACTGTAGAGCCTACAGAGGGGGTAATGCGTCAGCCCAGCAGGCTCACGACAGCAGTCTTTCGCGCTCACCGTTCTCCTTAGCCCCCCGTGCGACGCGGTCGAGCCGCCGCCGCGCGCCACTGAGCCTGTCACCCGTGTTATCGAGCTCATGGTCGAGATCCTCGAGCAAGCCCGTGTGCACGTCGAGCTCGTCGTTAATCTGGAGCGAGATGTCGCGCTGGCGGTTGATCGAGTGCGAGAGGCGGTCGAGATGCACGTCCTGGTCGTCCATCATCTGGCGCTGTGCGTGCAGCATCTCCGTCGAGGAGGGGAGCGCAGCCTCGGGGTCGTCTGTATACGGCGCGTAGGGCGTGTAGGGCGGCTCGGTGTTCTTAGGAACGGGTGGTGGCACGGGTGAGTTGAGGGACGAGGACGAGGACGACGAGTATGCGTTGGCGGTTTGCGATTCCTCGACCTGTAAGCTGTAGACCGATGTTAGGCATATACTAAGTGGCGAATACGAGTGGAACATACCTTGGTATGCCTACGACGTCCGCCTCCTGTCCCAGCATCCCCCTCATTCTCTCGTACTGACTCCGCAATAGCCTAACTGCCTCTGAACTCCCCTCCTTCTCTTCCAGGTCAAGCACGCCTGCGTGCAGCTGCTGCATGTTACGCGTGATCTGGGGGACATGAAGTGACGATGCACTTGGATTCGAGAACGTTTGTAATCGCTGACGCTCGAGTAGCAAAGACAATGTCTGCGTAGATAGCGACGTAAGTTTTGCTAAAGTAGCCATAGTCAGAAATACAGGAAAACTACAGCAAGCAGGGGAATATCGCAAGAATATCGGCAACAGGGGACTGGCAATGCATTAGGCGCCGGAAGAACTGCGATCGCCACTCGAGGCCCTGCGGACTTTCTGCATTTGGAAGGTCTTCAAGAACGCCTTGTCGGGTTCCCTCTCTTTATTCAACTTGAATGGAATGATATATTTTGTATCGATCTGACTCGACACGGTGACAAGAGTTTACTGGTCAAGGTTCCAAGTTGGAACGGGCAATGGTCCTTGCGATCCCAGACGAGCGGCGATTGCGGCAGTGCAATTCGGCAAGCTGCTTCAGGTGTGCGTTGTCAATATTTTCCTGTGCAGGGAGGATCACCCGGTTTCATATAAGGCGAAATTCAAGGCTACAACATCAATCGGCGCAAACAATTCATAGATACAAAACGCGTGTTTCAGCACATGAACCCTTTTCTCAAGCGGCCTTGACGCTACCCCATGCAACACGGGGGCCTCCTGGCCGTGGGCCCGAGGCAGCGGGCGCGGCGGAGTCCGTAGATACGTTGGCGACAGGTGCAGCTTTTGGTGGGGCAGGAAGCGGGCTGTTGCGAATACCGTCAAAGACGCGCTGCGCGTGTTCCGTATTCCGGATGAACCAGCCTGCGTAACGGCGCCCAACCGTCGACTCCGCGATGTGGACCATATTCTGGTGCGATACCTCAGCTGATGGTAGACACAGCACAAGAAGGCCACCCACCTCGTCTATAACAAAGTCCAGATCGCACGTCGAGATCATCTGCCCGTCGAGCAGCCCTTTCTCGTTCTCCACGCGACTTACCGACCGGCTCGCCTGCTTCATCACCATCATTTGCTGCACCATCTTTTCTTCGTCCGCGTCTAGGAAGTTCGCAAGCTTCTTTGCGTCCAACGATGTGTACAGCTTCAAGAAGCTGCGTAGCGTCGGCACCGGTGCCTGCGCCCGCACCTCGGACAGGAACAACCCCAGGTGCCGCTGCGCGGGCTCAACCGGCGGCTCTTCGATGTACGCTGCGCGCAGCTCGGGGTCCTCGTACGGCGGGGGATTTGCGGAGATAAACTTCGGGCAGGCGTAGAGAAAGAGCTCCTCGAACGCCGGAATACCCTCCTCACTGGCAGCAAAACCGTTGAGATACACACTCCGCTTAGGACGAACGGTACGCACCCTCTTGACATTTTCGTAAACTGCTCGCCATACCGCTCCTTGACGATGTTGGAGATGTTATCGTCGAGGCGCGTTGGTGACAAGGCGTTGCAGATAGCGAACAACGCGTACATACGGTCCGCTGTTTTGTTGATCTGCTATACAGTGAGTCTCACAATCCAAAAACACGAGAATGAGAACGCACCTGATCATACTGATAACTCCGTGTATGATATTGCCGCATGCGCAGGATGAAGTTCAATATCGATACAAACGCGCGGATGGCATCGGGGTATCGGCGCAGCATTATGTAACAGAAGCCAACGTAGTAGTAGGTCGTAACATGGCACGCCGTCACGCGCGTGAACGGTGACTGCAGTGGTGGGTAAGTTGGATTGCTTGAGCGTAGCACGAATTCTCGCGCACCTTTTGGTTGAGCTCGACGTTCTCCATTACCTTCAGCGCGAGCGTGAAGTCGCCAAGAAGGCTGTGCACGCGCAACAGCCCGACGACACTGAAGTAGCCGAGCATGCGGTAGAGTGGGCGCACACCGTACTCGCCGACAATTTCTCTGTGTAGCATTATCAGCATACAACGATACCCGCAGAGGACAGCACGACATGACGCACGCAATTTCCTCAGCAGATTTTCCCTCCTGCAGAGCGACGAGGTGCTCATTGATCTTGGACTTTTGGATGAGCGAGTACAGGACATTCAGCACGCTGTATGAGCTCCACACTTGGCTCGCGTCCGCGAGCAGTATGAGCTCCTCATCTGTCTTCGACTTGGCCTTCGAGCGCCAGACGCAGAACGACTGGTACTGGTAGATGAACTCGTCGATGATGTCCCACAGCCACTGTTCCGGCAGCTCGAGCGGGACGGGGCCGTCAGAGTCTGTAGACGCGCGCTTAGAGGAGGAGGGGATTCGGGGAGGAGCCTACGCACTCAGGAGGTAGTTGAACAGCTCACAGCTGTTCTCGTAAGAGTGAAAGCGGTCGTCAATGTCGGGCTGCAGGCGGGAGTAAACATGACGGTAGTAGAGTTCGCGGTACAGAATCAAGAAAATCTGGTCTGTAAAAAGGGATGGGTGAAGCGTTCTTCTCATTCGACGCGAGGACTAGGACACACCATCGTTGACAAGGGGAGCGATCACCTCCGCTTCTGGCCACTCCGTCTTCGAGTAGAACTTCTCCGTCAGGCGGTTCCACCCACTCTCGTACGCAGCCGTAATCTCCGCGAGGTTGTTTTCAAGAACAGCATGGTGAAAGTGTACGATGAACTGCACGATCCGTCCGATCAAAATTCGTGCACGGCAGATCGCACTGGTCACTTACCCGTTTCACCACATCTGGAATCTGCGCAAACGCGGCCTGCTGTACCATCTGTTGCTGGACCGCAAGCAGTGTTGCCTCGTCAATCCTAGGCTCAGCTGCACGCCGCGCGTTAGCATGCCTTTTCGAATACTTGCACGCCGGTGACCGCTCACCCTCGTCGTAGATTCCATTCTGGCCGTAGTTCCCGATGGCGAGGCTCAGGTCAACATCTTGCAGATCCTCGTCAACATCCCAAAGGGCCTTGCGTTGTTGCGACATTCGGTAACAAAAGTGAACCTGAGGTTGAGTGCTTGAGCAGAAAAGCGAAAGTGCTACTGCCCGATTTGGAGATACATCCAATGTGATAAAATGAGATTAGATTCTCTAACCCAGTTTCTGCGGTGCTTGTATTTGCGCATGTTTCCAAAATGAGCGATTGAAAATCAGATAAAGCATGTACTGATACCTTTCTCAAGCTTAGCTCGGGCGCCAACGCATTATGATGTGCTAGTGCCATCTGTAAATAAATCACTAAATATATGTATCGTCCATACTACGTTGTCCCCTCATCCATGCTTTACGCTCACATAGCTGGTTTCGTGTCTCGGTAGTTTGATGCACAAGGCATCACTGCTAATGTGCCATGTGCCATGTGGTGGCTCAAATGCTACATGACGTTATCAAATCACAATGGTATCTCAGCTATATTGGCCATTTATAGTAGGTCGATAATCCAGAATACTTGGTATATATGTTGGCAGCTGCGCCCGCCGATTCCCGATGATATACTTCGTGTCGACAATCTATTACTATTACTGAACACTTCTTGCTAACATACTCCATCCCGTCCCATACCACCATGGCGACTCCAGTCAGAGAATGTCAACCTGTGTACATGACATACTAATGAAACATGCTCGCGTAGAGGCCAGGATCGTCAAATGACGACACCGGAGCAATTGTGCCCAACTTCCAAAGCCGCGCCACCCTGGTTAACCCATCTCACAGCAGTAGCTTTAGATTCCTGATGAGACATATGATTCAAGTCAGCAGCTAAAATACCAATGAACTGAACCAGTGCCATGCTCGACCTCAACTTCATCGACTGATAATGTCTAACATCAGGATATTGAGCTAAATTATCGAGATGAATGGGAACATCGGTATGATCTCAATGATTTGAGGCGGCAAGCACAGCCATGTCGCACAAGAGCTGGAATTCATTCAAGATCCATACCGACATGTTTTATCGTGCCTGTAAGAAGAACAATGAAAAGATTCATCAAGACTCTTTCGGAGGGGAAGAATACGACTGACCTTCGGTATTGGCTGGGTGAACGCAACATAATTTGCTATGATCCAACAGCCTTCAGCTATCTGCACGACAGAGTACCTATGACAAACTCGGGTCACAAGCATACACTCAGCAAAAGCCAGTCTGTGATATGTGTGTGTGGGAGGGAAATACCCCGAAGTCACAATTCGTTCGCTAGTGCACCGAGATAAGAGACGATCAGATCCGATGAAACCCGGGAATTTAGGTGAACCGTCAAGCACGGGAGGGATGGGCCAGGACTCGAGAGCATTGTGGTTCTGCACCGTAAGGCGACGAACGAAAGACAAACGAAATGAGGGGGCTCACCGAAAGTAGCGTGAGAGGATATCATCAGCAGATACCGAAATAGATCAAGATCTAACTTATCGAGAGCGAATGCAAGCTCCTCAGATCTCAGTGATCGGCCTACATACGCCGCATAACCTGTTCTTCTTCACAGCGGCCTCTGCTCTCCGCCATCAGCCACCGCAGCTCCGCCGGAACGCTGGGATCTGGTCTGCAAGCGGCTGCAGGCACCCTATGCTGCAATGTTGTGAGGGTCAAGTTATCACAGAATCTACTGCCAGGTAGCGTTACCTCCGCACTTCAGAGTAGACACTACGGCTTGAGTGTTAACTGCCATTCTGTCGGCATCTGCAGAAGTGGGCCTCTGGGAATCCCACTCAGCACACTAGCTCAGACTCTGACAATACCAACGATGTCGTTCTTATCTTCAACAACAGAGTTTTTACGTTGACCACATGTTTGCTGTTAACGCCCTGTGGAACGCCCTGTGGTGCAACGACAGGTCAGCCATATGTATAAAAGCTGTGCTTGTAAAAGGAGTACGATGCAACAGCACAGGGGCATCGTATTCTTGTATCGACAATGAACCCATCGGAAACTGGACATCATCGTCTACCGACGAGCGTCGAGCCTACCCATTATGACCTCACAGTTTGCACTGATCTTGTGTATGCCAAGTTCGATGGTATCGTCAAGATCGAGTATGTATTTCTATCGACCCTCGGATCTTTGCTTAACATGAAACAGCTTGTATGTCCGGGACAAGACTTCAGACATCGTCTTCAACACCAAGGACATGCAGCTAGGAAGCGTTACCGTTTATTCAGATGCCCTGCGTACAGAGCAACACCCCAAGTCTATGTCGTTCGACACTGATCGGGAACGGGGAACACTGTCTCTTCCGACCTCACTTCCTGCCGGATCCAAGGCACAAGTGTCAATATCCTTCGAGGGGCCGCTCACAGGTGCACTCATGGGCTACTATCGCTCTGTCGGTGGCGCCGATGGCAAGGAGGTATATAGTCTGACCCAATTTGAGGTATGCCACTGCAAAGAGTACATTAACATACACAAGTATAACGGCCATGCTTTAGCCCACGGCGGCGCGGAGGGCATTCCCCTGCTGGGACGAGCCAGCATTGAAGGCAACGTTCGCTGTGACAATGATATCTCGCGCCGACACGGTCAACCTGAGCAATATGTCCGTTGAGTCGGAGAGCACATACGAGCCCGGCTCCCTGGACGCCACGGGCGCAGTAGTCTGGCTGACCAAGCTTGCTTCACCTGCGATCAGTGGAACAGCTGCGGGAGACAAGTGGAAGATTACACGGTTCCAGACTACACCCCCGGTTTGTACCTCCGAACTATTACTATTATACTTTCTAACTTGTCCTGGATGACAGATGTCCACGTACTTGGTGGCCTACGCCAACGGTCGCTTTGAGCATGTAGAGACAACATACACGAGTCCTCTGAGCGGCAAAACACGCCCGCTCCGCTTCTATGGTAAGCTGTATATTCCCCTGCACGAGTCATGTATCTCATCGAGTGCGCAAAGCTACATCGGACGTAATTGAACAAGCTAACTTTGCGCTGGATGTCAAGCGCCGAGTGCTCCCTATATACGAGAAGGTCTTCAATATCGAATACCCGTTGCCGAAGCTAGACACCCTCGTTGCGAGTGATTATAATTCTGGTCAGTTACTTGAAGGATCATGACTTCATAACATCGATCACAGACTGAAGACATCCACAGGTGCAATGGAGAATTGGGCAAGCGACTGAATGCTCAGTCTCTAATACTCAACTCATTTTACGGGCAGGGCTTGATCACCGGCAGGGTAACGGCCTTCTGCCTCGACCCCAGGTCAGAGAACCTGCAGGTCAAGAAACAAATCGCAGTTACAATGTGTCATGAAGTAGCGCATATGTGGTCAGTCTCTACCTGAACATTGACGTGCTGCATCTCTGAAATCATTAAGGTTCGGCGATATCACCACTATGGAGTGGTGGGATAATCTTTACTTGAACGAAGGTCGGGTGCTTCTTCTTCGAAGTATTCGGTGTCTTGATGGCATGCATGACGATCAGGTTTTGCCACCCTGGTAAGATAACGCAATTTATGGCTAGCTAGCAAAATAACAATGTTTCATCCACCAGATGGCCAAAGTAACCATCCTAGGTTCGTAATTGACGTTCACGCGGCTCGATTCACATTTCATCAAGATTGATCTACAGATAAGTGAGTAATCGCTACCTTGAAAAGGCGCAGGCTCAATGTGGATGTCGTAGAGTTTTCCCCGAGTGGAAGATGAATGCATCATTCATCTCGGACTCCCTTTTCAGGGCGTTTTCTCTTGACGCCAAACTCTCCTCTCACCCCGTCGAGGTGGAGTGTCCAGACGACAACATGGTGCACGGGGTAAGTTTCACCCCCCCGCCACTATCACCGCTCATGCGCCTTCTGTACACAGATCTTCGATGCGCTCTCTTATTCTAAGGCTGCATCAGGTATGTATGAGCAGCGCAGATCCCGGGCCCCCTCTCATGCCCATCGTGACCGCAGTTTTGCGCATGCTCTCAGCATACGTAGGGGAAGAGCGGTTTCTCAAGGGCGTCTCCATCTACCTCAAGCGGCACCTTTTCGCGAACAGCACCACGAAGGATCTATGGGACGGCATCAGCGACGCTACAGGTTAGCTGACAGGCACCTGCCGCTCGGGTCTTAACGCTGATATACTTCGGAGGTCTGGATGTTTCAAAGATGATGGATTGTTGGATCAAGCAGGTGTGCATTGATCCCGTGACTGCGTCGCTTCGTGATTTTATGAAGCACAATAGGTCGGATTCCCGGTCGTTACCGTCACCGAGACCACAAATGGCATTCACATACGTCAGGATCGTTTCCTCGAAACTGGTCCTGCTGATGAGCTAGATAGCCAGACAACGTGGTACATAGCATGACTGTATGCGTATCATGCATTCTGGTTGACGTGCAGAGAACAGGTCGATTCCCTTGCGTCTTCTCACGGTATCGGACAAAGGCGAGGTCATCGTAGACAAAGAGATTCTCCTGGAGCAGCGCGAGATGATCATCCCCCTCGATATCTCAAAACCGTTCAAGTTGAATGCGGGCACTGTCGGCTTCTGTATGCATCTTATCAACATCTGTGTTAGCGCGTTTCTGATATATTTATTGCAGACAGAGTCCTATATTCTACCGAGCGACTGATCACCATTGGTGCGGAAGCGGCGAAGGCTGCGTCCCCGTTTTCCGTGGAGGATCGCACTGGCCTTGTGTACGACGCGCTTGCGCTTGCAAAGGCTGGCTTCTTGACTGTCAGTAGTGCATTGTCTCTTTTCGAGGTATTACGCGAGGAGCGCGAATGTAGGCATTGTGTAGATCGCAACTCGAGAATTGTGCACTGAACGTATTCACTGACAGATTCTGTATTGCAAGGCATACTCTCGAATCTCGAATCGATTCGTTCGACTTGGTGGGAGCATCCTGACATTGTTTCCGCAATAGGGCATTTTCAGCGGGCATGCATTATCTTCATTAGATAAATGGGCATATCTCATAGGCTAATGGCATTTACAGAGTCTAGTTTCTCCGATCGTTCAACAATTAGGATGGGACAACCGCAAAAGTGATTCCGACGATGACCGTGCGTTGCGGATCCTAGCAATCCAGCATGCAGCCTCTGCAGAGGACACCAGGTATGGAAAGATGCGTTGGATCTGACTCGACCACGTTCACAATGACATGGATGATTATCAGCGTCATTCGGGAGCTGAAAGCGCGATTCTCGCGATTCATGGAAACGGGCGATGACTCGATTATTCCTCCCGATCTCGTTGGCGTGATTTACATGAATGTGAGCCACTGCAAATACAGCATCAATATTAATTGCCTCACTCCGCTAGGCCGTGCGGTGTGGGGGACGTAAGGAATGGGAGGCCGTCAAACGAATTGTCCAAAAGCCAAAGAACCCTGCTTACGGTACTTCAGCAATGATCGCTATGGGACACACCTCACATCTTGAGCTCGCGGAGGAAACATTCCAGTGCATCCTCAACGAGAGCCGCGACCAGGATCTCATATTCTACCTCGATGGACTATCAACAAACCGGAAGACCCGGCGATTTCTCGCTACTGCCTTCATGCGACATTATGATGAGGTAGTTTCTGCCTCGTGCTTCTCCTCGTGACCTGCTCATGTTCTCGCACTCTTACAGTTCGCAAAGCGTCTTGAAGGCAACTTCAGTATGCGGTATCTGATCTTTGTGAGTACTGGGCCTTACACGTACCTTACATGTGTAATTAAACCGTGTTTCCCAGCGAGTCTTTCAATCGCTTTCCTCTCGTAGAGATCACCAAGAGATAGCCAACTTTTTCAAGGTCAGCGAGCCTCAGTCATAGCACCAAGGCTTGGGTATCGATACTCTTTGAACAGGAAAAAGATACTTCCAAATATAACATGGCCTTGAAGCAGACTCTGGACAATATTGCAGCCCAAGCCGCGTGGGTTGAGGTACATGACAGACGCATACCAGATGAAGTCGGTGTTTAACTGTTTGGTTCACAGCGGTCAACAGATGATCTTCTGCGCTGGGCTTGAAGGAAATAGTGATTGCTTCTGCTGCTCAGAAGAATACGAACCTGTCTCGCAGGGTGTGATATCAAGGATACGGTAAAGACGTCTATCATCCTGTTGAGTGAAGGACGTGCGTTGTGTCCCTGGATTGAATATAATTTGTTCCTCCCGGAGATCCTGTAGAATAAGACGGCGTCATATGTACCAATGTGACCCGATGCCAATGGTATCCTTCGGCACTTCGGTGAATGTTCCATCAGTGACCACACTTCGGCGAGGGAGAGTAGTAAACTAAGACGAGACTACCGCGGCTACCAGGCTGAACCGCGAAAGACCAGAGCCAACAAACAGCATATAGTGCGGGTCCTGCATGGTATTCGCCAAGCCCCAAATTTGAAAAGGCACTGTCACATCCTAGACTAATAACGATCGAAGGACATGATGTAATGACTATCTCTATGTTTTGTGAAGGAACCGGAGACCTATTGAGGCTTCAGCATGTCCTTGAAGCGGAATTGTCTCCGCAGTCCTGGCCGCTGGGTCTCGCAGAATAACGACGCTTCGGCATCTGAGGATATGGCGTTGAAGCACGGCTTAGGTATGCCAGTTTTTCTGGTAACCAGTAGGTTGGCCACTGACACGTATTCTACCCCATTCAAATGTTAATCGGCAGGCGACAACTGGAAGGCTGGGACGAGTCATCGAACCTCTTGTGGCAGTGTGGCGTATCCTTAAGGCTTCTGGATTTGGGTGCCCAACACTAAAAGATCCAATGAGCGTAACTTGAACGCGCACTCAGTGATGGCATGAATTTCCTATTCTCTTGACACCAACGACCGGCGTTTGGTTTCTGGCCACACGCCAAAGGCTTTTTATTATTAAGAAGCCCAGTTTTATATCCGCTGTAGGACACCAAAGTATGAGGGGGCGAGCGACAACATGCGGTTCAGTTGCAAGGCTGAGTTCATTAGGGATGCCTATACTAACATCTCACTCTATCTTTCACACCCTTCAGATGTGCCTTCGGTGTGCGCGCCACAAGTCTGGGATGCTGGACGTACGCTCAAGTACCGCGGCGGCTGATCGACACTCCGCTCGGAAGCGTTGCAAGACGCTATGGCCAATGCTGACAGTCAGATTCTGTATGCAGCACGCCTGAGTCTTCACGTTGACATAGCCAAACGGAGGTGGGTGGGGCGTACCTTGTCAGGTATGAACGGATCGCCCACACACAGCGGCGGGTTCATCCACTGCTGTCCTGAACGTTGTCCGTTGCCGCCGCTCATCAGCGCTATATTGCGACCAAAATCACCCGCGCACATGCTAGCACCTGACGCTTTAAGGAGCATGGCCTTCCGCGATTTTCGCCCGCCGTGCCTCACGCTCATTACATCCGCTGCATAATTGTGTTCGTCAGCCCAGTATCTGAAACAGCCACGGTCAACAAATGCTCTTAAGACGTTGTGTCAACACAAGATGCTTACCGAAACCACTCCAAAAGGGCTAGACACACATTGTCAGGTCCGCGAGGGGCCCAGTCTTTGCATAAATTGTAGCGAGTATCGCACGGGATGTTAATAAACCCCCTTGGTTTTAATCGTTTGCGTTGTATCCAAAAGAGGTCTTCCTCGCGAGGTGCGGAGGCGTGAACGCTGGCTTGCATATTCGGCAGCCATCCACGCCGCTGCAAATGCCAGTGAGTGTGTCGTGCCTAAGAGATTATTAGTGTCTGGGGAGCACCCGCACCTGATATAACCCGATCGACATCATGGCGAATGCGTAGCTACTGAAACTGGCTTTCCTATGTGTACCCTCGCCCGATGGGTTGTTCAGGCCGAGCGGCTTTGCCCACCTCTTGAGCACGATAAGCACCGCACGTAATGACGGATGCAGTTCGCAATAGCGCTTGATGAGCTCAGTGTTTTTGATGCCGAGGCGATCGTTGATTTCAATATCGCACGAGATGCCGGTGCGGGGGTCGGTACATTTTGCTAGGAACACAGCATAAGTATACGGCCCAAAAATTGTACAAGCGCAGCGGGCGAACCTATGGGGACGGTTGCTGATGGTCTACACAACACTTGCGTGTAACCATTTGCTCTTAGCTTTCTAGCGAGGAGGCTGATTGACCATCAGCGTAACCCTCATTGCCTAGAAGTGATTGCAGCTTACCATACATTATAAACAACTATGGCTGTTAGAACGTGAAAGGTCACAACCGATCGTGGTGAACGATACTCACCTGGAAGGGGCTGTTTAGTGACCTTTGGCGAGTTACCGCAAGGCCTCGATGGATCCTACGCGAGGAAAGAAGTCACTGACTATATCTCCTCGGGATGAGACAAGAAATACCAGGACTACTATATCAAGATCACTGAACGGCGAGTCTGTACCGCATCGTGTGCTGCCGAACAACTGTACAGAATATTGCTGGCCATACTCTTTCTGCACGAGCTTCGCGACCCTCTCGACAGTGCTTTCCCTTGCGCGGAGGACAGATGTGGGTATTTGAGGAGGCTGTACTCTTCATTCAACATATCTTGGCATGTTCGCATGTGAAGATTCCACCCACCTGGTACAACAGTGATGATTCAGCTTGATGTACGTTTTCGGCTTCCTTTTGATCTATGCATGGAGCTATTGTGGAGAAGGTGACCTGCAGCATATGAAACACTATTGCTGCGCAGAAATGCCGAATACATACCATGCGCTGGAAGTTGCAGAGCAAGACTTCAACCCGACTGGATGCGTAGCGTGCGTTACGGCATGCATTGCGCACATACATACTATAGGTGCGTCGATAGCTTTTTCACGCCCAGAGTATGGGGAATATAAGTACGATATTGTAGTCGCTGCCAGGGGCCACCGCAATGTTCAAGGAAGGATTGATTTTACCCGAGCCCCCAAAGTCGGCACCCCTTGCGTAATTGGCTCAGGAGTCAAAATTATTGATCGGACTGCGAACATCCCGAGACATTCCGGGGAATCCTGCTCTCTAATTGGCGGTACGAAATATTAGATTGATATTGAGTTTACCAAGCCAGTATTTTAGTGCCTAATATGGCAGAATGATTGTAGATAATCTCTATTTCTGATTAGTCTGCAGTGATGACCGAATTTGGAATCAGGCCCACATGCGGGTAAGATCTTAAGTTACTTACGATCTATTACTTATATCGAGGTACTCTCTTAGGTGCTTGAGACATGACTGTGAACCGACACAACTTACAAGACAGTGTCTTCATATAGTGAGAAGGGCATCGTATGTAAGAGCCGACGTACTATACACCTACTCACAGAGCTGAGGGCACCGAGAAGAGAGTAACAGTCCGCTTCCGCCATACCAACGGAGAAAAAGTGAAGATTAGAGTACGTGCATAGATAGTAACATGTACAACAACGACCCCTGCGGGCCTGTGGACGTGTGCAGGGCGAGACGAAGACAACGAAAGTGAGCGCTCAGTGATGCGTCGCTTTCACGACGGAAACGACAACAATGATAATGATGATGGCAATTGCTACACCAATGATGATGCGCATCTGCAAATGGTCGCGTGAGCATGTAGCATAGAACCAATATATTGATGCATACCTTCATGTCTTTCCACCACATATTCTACGGAACACGCGCCAAGTTAGATGCACGGGTATACCAACAACAAATCTGTTGGCGCACCTTTCGCACTCGGTTCGCACCACGGCGGAACCCTTGCGCCGACACAGCAAGGTTGTCTAGAAAACGAACACATGTGAGCGACTTGACAGCGCGACCGGCGGACCGGAAAACGCTGCGGCGTGCACAGCCCGCCAACAGACAGGAGTACGCACCGGTCTTGTCCTGCAGTTGGTCCAATCTCTCTCCTCGCTCCGCCACCTTTGTAATGTTCTCCCTCATGATGCCAACGGTGTCGTCGATCTGCTGCTGAATCGCAGCAGTCTTCGCGTTGCCCCCCGGCCCGGGAGGGTTCGACGAAGAGCCGCCGCGAGGAAGGTACGGATCATATGGTTCAGACCTAGGACAAGACAAAGTGTGCGTGCATAGCACAGTGCAGGACAGTGTCAGGATCCCAACCGAATGTCAAGCGAGCAGTAGTAATACTGACATGGCTATGGCGTGCGAATCTGCAAGATACGACTTCAATGAGCCACCGTGGAGAGATAACACAGCGTCGACAGCACTGACCGTATCAAACGATGCTTTAATGGAGAAGTACGAGGGGGTTGCGTCGCGTAGCGTTGCCTGGTCGTGGGTGGTCGTCGTTGGAGAGACAGACGCAGTCGAGCGGCTAACGCGGTGTTCTGGACGGAACCAAACATGACCAAGCTCAGCCTTCCCCCGTACCGCCATGTGCTGCTGCACATCCCGCCACTAGATTCGGCCGTGCTGACTCGCTTGTACAATGTCATACTCGAAATCTCAACTGCGAGAGAGTCGCGCTGGTGATCGTCCTGTAGGACTTGAAGCTCCCTAGTGGATCAAAGTCGTCTGAAAGCCTCTGCCAATTTCCTTCAGTTCTACCCGTTCACACGTGCGGTACTCCTACTTTCCGAGAGACTGACTATGTGTAATACCTCTTCGTTTTGGCGGGAATTTCTGCTCAAGACTCGACTTTCCTCACGCCCCTTCTAAGCCATCGTGCGGGACTCGAATCACACACCAAGTAGCCCACAATGCCTGGAAACATAAATGACCTGCGCACTCTAATACACTCTGGTATTTAGATGAAATCCGGTTTTCTATGTTATCCTGAGGTAGGTCATACACTCTGGCGGCATCCTGCATTGTCCCTCTTGTGTCCGGTGGGAATGCTTAGAGATAATCATTCCGGCGCTTAGCTCGCCTTCCCCTTGCTGCCTGAACATTCAGGATAGGGCAGAGCAAGGCGGCTTTGATATTGGGAATTGCCTATTCGACCGTCGCACGCCTGTTATCCCCGTGGCGCCCCTCCAGATATGACCAGGTATCAAAACATACTGACGCATCTTGGTAACTGGATGCGTACCTGATAATGATGTAGTGCAGAAGCGACGGGGTCGGGACCTGGTGGAAAATGCGTTCAAGTCCGCTTAGTGGTTGTTCCCTGTTCTCCCCAAGACAGCCTGCAAAGAGCCTCCTTTCTGAGTGAGAGGAAGACGGCTGCTCTATAGCTGTCTCTAGATTCATATCATCGATGTTTCTCCGCCTCACCCCGCGGAGAAGACATAAATACGACATTCACAATTCAATAAGATCATCATGGTCTGACATCTGAGTTCGAAGATATGTTGACACGTATGCGATGAACTATGAACTTTATCTTATTGGAACTGTCGAAGCCTACCACTTCCTGCGTCGGGCTTTACGCCAGCTGCGTTGCCGTGTCAACGGTTGGCAGTATTGGCATGCATTCTGGCACCTATGACGGTCAAAGCCAACCGGGGTGGACCGACAGTGCTGAACCAATATCATGTACCATGAACTATCTGTAGCGGTCCCGCGGTGCGATCATTTTTCTTGCGAAGCTGTGCGTTCCATCATGGACTTGACGCGGCACTTGGGCTTCTGATAAGTCGGCGTTCTAGTGGTGAGTCTTGAAGCCGGTGCACGCAAAGCCACGGGAAAGCCGTTCTTTTTTTTGATCTAACTACCACTTCCAAGGACGTATGTCCAGTACCGAACGTACGATGCCGAATATGCCTGACGAGAGGGGAATAAACTTAGATAAATCGCAGGTAGACATCGAAGCTTTCCTTCCATGTTGATTTACTCACAGATCCTTCAGACGGAGAACAGCAGGATTGATGATAACATCTGTCTTCGACTCCATGACAACATATCATACTTGGGGATGATCGCTGGCCTACCTTGGTCAATATATGTTCTTCCCCGACTCGAGGCTTTGCGCCCCTTACCATCTGCTGTGCAGAACCACTCATGGCTAACCTCAATGACTCCTTAGGAGCTCTATTCATAGGTGAGTTGTAGCAGCGGCTCATATGTGGTCGACTTTCTGAAGGCGTTCTAGGTAACTTAATTACTGCGATGTATGACCGATCCTTCCTCGAAGATGTTCATCCTAGGAGGACTGATACCTGGCTTGCGGGACAGACTCTTCGGCATTACGTCATTGCAGACTTACACATATTGTAGGCGTCATAACGGAGACCCACCTTGCATGCGAGCTATGGTAAGCCACGCTAGGCGTCGCGCATACACTTTGCTGACAGATGACTGTTGATGTTGATGTAGGTTTTCGTTCTCTGGCAAGCAACGCATGGCCAGATATCCGTGCAACACAGCTGAGATTTGATCGCAGGTTAATAGACTGCCTACACCTTGCGTTTGTTACCCATGCAGTTTACACCTACGCTGTCATTCGTTTCGGGGATGAATCCGGACTCTTGAAACTAACATGGTACGTCAATATTTACCTCATGATGAGAAAAAAAAGATTAAGGCGTGTGTCCTCGGAAAAGGAGCGTACCGGTAAGCATTATTTTCTCTTGAATGCTTTTGTGAATCATCGAATATTCGATTCAGGCGTTCATTTTTGCAACGGTGAGTGGATCCATGTCCTACATAAATGCAAAGCTAGACAAAAGGGTTTGAAGGGCACCAGCGATGTCATCGTACGGAGGTATGATGTGTGGTGCATAAGTCCCCATCATGTATTTCTCAGCTTTCCTTTCAACAGTTTATTCTGTTACCGGCTACGGAAATGTGCGCCTGCTTCTTATCTGGGAGATGCTGATCAAACTCATGAGTAATCTTCTCCAGTGAGCAACAGTCCTTGGGACTGGTACTTGATTCTTGCCATTGTACGTTTCGGTTTCACAGGTGTTCTTGATATACATCTGAAAACAGCATAGATATTGACCAGCATAGTAACATTTGGTAAGTGATGCTGCTGGAATGGCTGCATCGGCGTGTTTATCTGAATCGATGTTGTCATAGCTATGGATTGGGGTGAGAATGGATCCTTCGGCTATCCTCGTACTGAGACTAAACTATCGTTGTTATAGCGTTCGCAATTGCAGCGTAAATAATTTCATTCCTATCGACAAAGCAGTGCGTTTGACATCACTTTGTAGTTTGTTTGTCGATTCTTTCCATGCCTTTACGCAAGGCGTTTTCCCGGTAAGTGGAGAGAATCGAATAGCACAAAGGACGGTGCTCACTGTACATGGGATCATCGCAGCCAATTTTATACGTTGGTCTCAGCAATGCAGCTGCTGGTGATGTGTTGATTGCAGTCTCTCTCTGTATCATATTGTCAGGGCACCGTGGGGGTCTACCTAGGTGCGTCCTGTTTTCTTCCATGATACCGCTACTGAGATGAGTGGCTTCATCGTAGCCGGACAGACAATGTCGTCCGCATGCTGATGTTGTATGGTATCGAGACCGGTATATTGACAAGGTTTGTGCTTCTCACGTCATCCGCTGTGTAGAGACTAAGACCTGTCCCCAGTGTTTGTGCAACATCGTGTCTGATCCTCGTATGTACAATTTATGTGGGTTCCTCGGCCATAGTAATCTGTATTATAGTACGCGATAATGCCGGACAATTACATATACATCGCCTTGTACATAGTCTTGTCGAAGGGTGAGTCTGCTCCTCTGCGCCGACAACAACGGCTGACGTGCCCTCGCCAGTCGCCCTCAACTCACTTTTGGCCACCCTCAATGCGCGACGCGGCCTCAGGGAGGCCACTGGATTGATATCAAGTACAATCTATCCGGCCCAATCTCGCACAATCGTAAACCAACTAGAGGAAGACAAAGCTCCCAGCGTGCACAGCATTTGCGACGTACGTTTCAACTCACAGCGAGATTTCATGCAATGATTTCACCTAACACAGTTTCTCGATGCTGGTGTCTGTCCGAGAGACCTCGACGAAGGCCCCTTGCAAATGGTTGAGGTGAGAGCAGTCGCTTTCAGGGCTCTACATGTGCCGACTTTGCTCTAGGAAGGCCAGGGTGTAGCGTTCGCCAGGATTCGGCTTTGAAGAGACGTTATTTAAAATGTACCGGACTTTGAGACTATTGGATATAGCGGACTCAAGTTAACTCACTGTAGTACGACAGCCCCTCGGCAATGTGTATTTAGCAGTGCTTACTGACAATGATTCGCTGATACTCGACGTAGAGGTACATCCTGTATCCTATGTCATCTATTCATTTCAGCTTGCCCCCTTTTTTGACTTCCGTTCTTTCCGCTTCCTGCCAATCAACGAGCCAACTTGATGCCCCGATTTCGGTGCCGCATCCTTAGATGACTGCTTTTGTAGCGACTGCTTCTGTAGCTTCGGCGCTGACATTCGACGCTTTTTGGGCGACCGCTCCTCCGCAGGCTCGGATTTGATATCTGGCAGCGACACTTTTCGCGTAACTTTCTTCTCTCCGACGCCCTTTTGTAGGAAGAACGTCACTTATAAAGACAACCCCCTAGTAGCAAGGAAAATAAGACTGACCTGTTGTTTCTCGCGTTGCTGGGCAGTACGTCGCTGTACGACTTGTACATTCTCAATCGAGAATTCAACGATGAGGGTTCCTCTGCTCTTCACAGGAGCACCTCGTTCTAGCTCTTCCTTGAGCCGCTTTATGCGCGCGTCATCCTTCGTCGGCTTTTTCTTCTCAATCTTGATCAAATCCTCTACCTCAGCTTTCCACCACTCCTCGAATAATCGCCCTGCTTCAGTATTGTTGTTCGCCCACCGTAGAACGCGGAGAGCATCAGCATGCTTTATCATCTCCAGAAAGCCGTAGCCTTTGCTGCGGCCCTTCCCCGTCACAGGGTCCACACGATCCGCCTGCCGCACGATCTTGGTCTGCTTGACGCCCGTTGCACGCCCACCCTTCCCTTTACGTCCGGGCGTTTTGCTGCTCTCCTCTTTGACGGGTGTCTCCTCGGATAGTGTAGGGGCAGATTCGTCTAGCTCATCCTCACTGAGCGATTGTCGCGCGCCTTCCTTGACCTCCTTATCGAACGTACGGACTGCATGGATGGCGAGCCGCTTCAGCATGCGTTCCGTAACGAAGAGCGGCAGCTGCCGAATGCTGAGTCGCGTCCTGGAGACATACAAGGACGGGTTGGAGCGTAACAACGCACGACGGGCGTTGTATGACTGAGTCCTTTTCTCTACGTCTGCCGCACTCATGCCCTCGGCGGCAGGAGTGTTCGGTAGTATGACTATTAGTATTTTAGCGACACCCTTCCTTCACAAATGCAAGGCACGATGACTCACTGCCTTCCCGGAGGAGATAGAGGTTCCGCTTGTCAGCCTTCTCCCGCTGCTTTTCCCCTGCTTCCTTGAGTTTCCCAGCTTCATCTCTAGTGACAGCGCGGACGACATCCAATGTTCGGCCATGCAAGACCAAGTTCTGCGCTACCGACGCAGAGGGATCAGGTGTGAGCAATGAAGGCATCTTGAAGGGATTCTTCTTGGGCTGCTGTAATGAGGGGGCCAGGTCAGGAGGCACGAACGCTTCACCAAAATACGGACGCACCGCCACTGCGGTTCTGTCGCCAGCTGTTTCAGCTCGCAAAATATCGCTTTGCTCAATTGCTTTATCTGCGTCCTCCTTGTTCCAGAAACAGGCGAAACCAGTTCCCCTTGATCTACCGGTCTCATAGTCCAATGTGATACGCGCGTAGCGAAGCGGGCCAAAGGCTCGGAATCTGCATGCTTGTGAGCGATCAGGAATGGCGACAGACAAGATTACGTACAATGTCCGCAACTCGTCTTCAGTCGCCTCGAATGGTACATTGCGCACGAAAAGAGTCGTGCCAACATCGGGAGGGGGAAGCACGGGCTTTGAAGGCTTCTCGTCCTCAGCTTCAGACTCGTCGCCATCATCCGAATCGCTCAGCCGACTATCGTTGTCACTGTCGCCATCATGGACACCAAGCTGCTCGTCCTCGTCAGTGTCACTCTCGCTCTCGCTCCCACTCTCGCTGCCCTTCTCGCTCTTGACATCTACCATGTTGATATCCGCATCCTCCTGACCCGGCTCTATCTTCGCCTTCTCCTGCTCCCACTTGTCTTTGCTCAGCGCCCAGTCCACCGCTATCACTCGTTCGTTTGCCTGTGGCTTAGCACCCGCATCCCCGTCTTCCTCCTCATTCTCACTTTCGTCCTCTTCTCCCCCTTCGTCCTCCCCTCTCTGTGTCGTGGCCTTCTCCGCCTTGGCCTCCTCCCGCCGCTGTTTCTTCCGCTTCTGCTTGTCCGCCACTAGCCGTGCTGCCATGCCCGCCTGCACCTTCATCCCGTTGCACTCCTCCATTGCACGCTCTGCATCCTTTCGGCTCAGCATCCACACGAACGCGAACCCCTTGCCACGCTTAGCTTGCAGCGTCGCCTCACCGTCTTCCTCCTTCGCATCGTCCACCGCCGACGGAATGTCGACTGAGTGAATCGGGCCGTACGGTAGGAAAAGAGCACGAAGGTCTTGCTCTGAGATATTGAATGGAAGGTTACGCACGATGAGTCTGCTTGCACGATTCGGTGCCGGGCCCTTGGGATTCGCCGCCTTCGCCGTTTTCGGCGCCTTTGCGAGACCGTCGAGCCGCTTCTTGAGCGTGGCTGAGAGCAGTGAGCCCTTGAAGACGTGTGCATGAAGTTTGTTCACAGCGTCTGCCGCGGCTGCAGGCGTAGTGAAGAGGGCATGTGCCGTGCTGCGGTCTTCATCACCATTGGCAGAGGTAATGGGCCAGTCGACCTTCTCTGCGCCGTCGAGCTTGCGGATCTTCTTCCAAAGCTGTTTCGAGTCGACGGAAGAAGGGAGACCGGAGATGGCTACTGTTCGGATGGCCAGAGGATCGCGCGGGGCGTTGGTTTGTGCGGGACGCGGGGGTTTAGGCATTGGCTCAGACTTGGCCATTGGCTCCTTCTGTGTCTTCTCTTTATACTGAGTTGTAACAAGCTAAACAAAAATATACCAATCGGCAACATGCGACTCATACCTTGCTTTCCGCCCACTGGACACGGAGATTCCTGCTGTCCAATATGAGGCCGTCTTGATTAATTTGCTCGTATGCGAGCTGTGCATCCTCTCTAATAGCAAAAGAGACATAGCCGACGCCTTTAGATACACCTGATGCCTGGTCGAGGACAACGAATGCAGATCGTACTGGCGCGATGTCGGAGAAAAGCGTATTCAGGTCAATGGAGGTTGCGGTGTAGGGTAGATTGGAGACAAAAAGTGTGGATCTACCAATCCATTGTTAGCATACGACACCAGAAATCGCAGAGCACTTACCCATGATGCTTTGCCGCAGGCTCATCTGCTTCTCTCTCCTTCCTCTTTCCAAGTAATGTCGACATTGGGCCCGTGCCTCGAGTTGACTAGATCTTGTTCAAGGCGTAGGCAAACCGAGATAGATCTTGAGCTAGATCTTGCTCTCGAGTAGGTATAGGTACGACGGTTGGGCCCAAATCAAACACGACGAGAGATTTATTTGCAAGTTCTGGGCTAAGAGAATAGCAGACGCCTGTCGTAACAGTGAATAGAATCAATACAGTGTGACTCTGATACTTCGGTAATCGGAGTTTCATCCAGACCTTATCATGCCATAATCGGAGCTTCAAATGTTACAATGCGACGTAGGATCATTATCTTACTGCTACTTCGACTACTTGATTCTCACTCATATCCGTCGTTCCTTCTATCTATGTCGCCATGTCTTCCACCGGGCATAGACACTCAACCTCAGTGTCCCAAAACCACAAGGCACAACTCGCTAACGCTTATAATGAACTCGGGAAGGAGCTCTCGTCCCAGAAGATCAGGGTTGTCGGTAATTACACGCTAGGGAAAGTCATCGGCGAGGGTGTGTGGCCATGTGTTTTTATGAGCTCGCTTGCTAAGGGAGAGACAGGTACGTACGGTAAAGTACGACTCGGGGTACATCGCCTCTCTGGGACCCGCGTCGCCATCAAGCAGATTCCAAAGGCTATGTCTGCGTCGCTCACGCGTGAGATCCACCACCACAGACAACTACACCATCCGCATGTTACACAACTGTTCGAGGTAATTGCAACCGAGTCCAACATCTGGCTCGTTACCGAGCTCTGCTCTGGGGGCGAGCTTTTTGACTACCTAGCGGAGAAGGGCCGCTTGAACGAGGAAGAGACACGCATCATCTTCGGGCAGCTATGTCTCGCTGTCGCGTACGTGCACTCAAAGGGGATTGTACACCGTGACCTGAAACTGGAAAACGTGTTGCTGGACGAGCGCTGCCGCGTGAAGCTTGGCGACTTTGGGTTCACGCGTGAGTTCGAGCGCGGGTCGCTGTTGGAGACGTTCTGCGGGACAACCGGGTACGCGTCCCCGGAGATGCTACTCGCGAAGAAATACCTCGGGCCAGGCAAGCCGCGGCTGTGATTGTTCGCTGGGCATATTCTGATTTGCCATGCAGAAGTGGACGTCTGGTCACTGGGGATCATTCTTTATACGCTCCTGACGGGCATGCTACCGTTTGATGATGACGACGAAAGTATCATGAGAGCCAAGGTGATAGAAGGCGTGTTTGAGGATCCCGAATGGCTTTCTGAAGGTGCGTTCATTGCAAAACGCGTTTAAGGAAACACTCATTTGACCTCCCCAGATTCGCGAGACCTAATTAAGAACATCCTACAAACTGACCCCGAAAAACGCCCCTCAATCGCCCAGATATTAGCGCATCCTTGGTTCACCGCATTCACTACGATACCTGTTCTTCCAGCCTCCTCGCGCAGCAGCATCTCATTCTCCTCCCGGCCGAATTCCCCAATGATGCTGCGTCCGCCATCTGCGGATGCGGACTCTCAGCCACAGTCCGCATTGTCAGAGTCGACCTATCACTCCGCCTCTTCGGAGTTCCCTACCTCAGTAGCCACGACGCCCGACCAAGGGATTCCAGACGACGTTTTCGGCATTGGAAGCGTAGGCGTCAAAGTAGATGCTACACCAGACGAACGGCCACAGACACCCGATCAGACCCCGTCACGCTCATCCTTCTCTCGCAGTGGATCTAACGCGAATCCGAAGGTCCCGCCAGCATATCCGACACGGACCCCTGCGCGCACAAAGCGTCGCTCCGTATCATCTACTCTGTCTGACCCTAGCACACCTACGTTTGAAAAAACTAACGGTGTATTACCGGTACAGGACTTCTCCTCGTTACTGCAAACCCCTGCACCTATCATCTTCTCGACCCCGCTTGAACGAGAGCTGCTAAATTCTTTGAGCATGCTAGGCTTTGACACCGGCCAGATTGTGCACTCGGTGCTGAGCGATGCGTGCGATGCTACAGGGGCACTCTGGTGGATGCTCAAGCGCAGGGCGGAGAAACGCGCCCTGGAGGAGGTTCCGGCTGGAGCTGAGGGTGCCACCGCCAAGTCCCAAGCGGAAGACAAGGGGAAGCATCGTGCAAGGGACAAGGACAGCAAAAAGATCCCCGCTTTTGTGCACGCTGCTGTCGATGCAAGTCAATCGATGTTACTGCCCGCCATGACGCAGGCGCACTCTGCGCCCGAGTTGCAGTTGATACCCCCAACTCCCACAGCCTCGGTCACGACGCGCCCACGCACACCTCCTCGTACCAAGTCCCCCACGAGCCAGCTTCTCTCACCTACGCCGTCAACTGCGGATATCTCGATCCGCTCGCACCCTTCCACGCCTGGCGGTAGCATGAAGGACAAGGACGGCTCCAAAGGCCGCAAAGCGCGCTCAGGCAGTGTCAGCATTATGCAGCGGGCCACCACCGCGCTCGAGGCCGCAGGGCTGGTCAGAAAGAAATCCGCCGAGGGCGTGCGGGAGGAAAAGGAGAAGGAGCGGGCTACGGACAAGCGCAGCGGGAATGGCAGCGGCGACGAGCCCCGTGTCTCGCACGGAAGCGGCTCGAGCAAGCTCGCAAAGAGCCCGCCTCTCAAATCGAATGAGATTGCGGTGCCCACAACGCCGCCCTCGAGCGCGGAGCTCAATCACGTGGCGATGTCTTCGCCGTGGGTCCTCACAAACTCGAGGGCGTCGCCGCCCCCGACAGACTCGCCCCGCGACACCCTCTCTGCGCTGCCGAACATCACCGGCAACAAGGGCCTCGGGAACCGCAACCGCGCGAGCCTGTTGTCTGCGTTCCGCATGTGGTTCAAGGAGGACCCTAAGGGCAAGCGCAAGGAGCACTCGCCCACACACGCGCACCTGTACACGGCCGCGCTCAACAACCCCGGCCCGAGCGGCGGATCGGGGCGCAGTCGACCCACAGTCAAGCGGCGCGCGAGCGGGAACCGCGCGGGGCGTCAGGCGCGCTCGAAGCGCACGTCGGTCTCTTCGCGGCGCTCAAGCAGCGTCAACTCGCGCCGGTCGTCCGTACACTCGACGCACTTCCCGCTGCTCGAGTCGCCCGGGCTCGCGTCTACGTCCGTGTCGCGCCGGCGCAGCGACGCAAGCCGGCGCTCGTTTGGAAGCCACACGCCCAACTCGGAGCGCGAGGACCTCGTCTCGCGCCCGTCGTCGATGCAGAGCTTCTATGGCCAGCAGCGGCACCGCAAGTCGCCGTCGGCGAGCTCCGCGGGCTCGATGCACCCCGGGCGCACGTCGTCGCCGCTGCCGAGCAAGTACCACCGGCGCGCGGGCTCCGGGTCGTCGACGCGGGTCATGCGACAGATGCAGCCGCCGAACCTCGCGCACCTGCGCTCCAACTCTGCGTCGTCGGCGCAGTCGCGGGGCTCCTCGCACCCCGGCTCGTCGTACGACCTGTCGGAGAGCGACAGCAGGCGGAACAGCTCGCCACACAAGCCGCAGGTACGGCGCTCGCTCGAGGAGACGCCGCGCCGCGCACACACCCCGACGGCCTTTGCTGCACACAAACGCCAGACGCCGTTTGCCAATCCCAGCGGCAGCGGCGGGTACCTTAACTCGCTCGGGCGGTCAAGCTGGAAGAAGTCGTGGGGCTTGGAGCCCCCCGGCTGGCAGACCCGCCAGGCGTACTCCGCGATCGAGGTGCTTGCGATCTCGCCGCCGGTCGACGGGCAGGGCATCCGCGACGTTTTTTCCGGCAGGCAGTCGCTCAGCATGGGCGACGAGTCGGACTGGGTGGACGAGGACGACGACTCGCCCGGGTATGCCGGCGGCCTGGGCCAGATGCCCATGGCCGCGTGCGGCACCGCCGGCCCTTCGTATTCGCATCCGCCCGAGACACCCATCCTCTCGCCGGCTCCCCGCGGAAACGCCAGCCGTGCGAGCAGCTCCAAGCGAACGCCTGCGAGCCTTGCACCGGTCAATGTGTCCAGCAGGGGCTCACGGGGCAAGGCGGGGCGATCGCCCGTCGGGCGTAGCTCCCCGTTGCCCAGTGAAAGCTCGTTCGAGCCGCCCGAGCCGCGAGGAGGAAGACGCCAGCTCCCCGCCGGGCGGTCGGGTCCCGCTGCGATTCAAGAGGAAGACGAGGACGAAGAGTAGACAAACATACCTGTTCTGTGGTAACCATGCATGGTTTCGTCTTTGGTCCGCGATCTTTGTGTTAATGTCCAGTGTGAGCTCTACCGTATTGTTATGGATCCTAAGTTTTATGGACTGTCTCGCTGCCCGCTCACGCGCCTGCACGTTGCATTGCTATCTATATCAGATTTCGTTGATACCCACTGTTGTTGTTGTGGCAGGGATACTATGTTTGTCTCCTGGTCACTTGCATGTAGGATCTATCCGTCCATGCCATATAGCGCTTAAATTTCTCAGCTGATTTTCGCCGCCAGAGCCAGGTGTAGTCGAGAACGGTGCGCAGCTTTTCTTATTCGGGTTTGGTAGGGTCGCCTGCGAGAGGCTGACCGCGTGTTTGTAGGTCCCGCGTTCTTGGATGCCTGCCAATTTGAGATGGCCCTCGATCGTTGGTGCCCGATCAGCGTTACCCGCCTCGACGCGCGATCATCGTCGATCACAACAACGCATGTCCGCCTCCGCTGCTAACGCTCGCCGGGCGACTGTGCGGCTCCGGAGCCTGGCAGCAGAGGTCGTGTGGCCAACTTTCGGGCTCGTGCGTCGAAAAACTGGGACTCCCACAATCATTATTTTCTTTCAATGGTCCTTTCGCCGCCACATCCGCTGCATTCATGGCACAGCGTCACTTGACCCCCACCTGACCCCGGATCTTCGCGCAGTCGCAACGGCTCTTGAGATGGTTCTGAGCCTATGATGTATGTGTCCCAGCATTCGCTGTTCCCCGGAGAACCCTCCCCTATGACCATATTGCATACGTCGCAGTTGCGCGCGCGCGCCGGCTCCTGGGATCTCCTTCGTCTTCTCGTGCTGGATCCGAGCGCAGCCGCCGGGTCCATCTTGGGACCCACAGGCCGCGGCGTCACGGACAATGCATCGCGCGCGGGTCACGCGCCTGCCAGTATGAGCCGTCTGCGCACTCCTCCTTCTCCTTCTCCTCCCTCCTTCTTTCCATGCATTCCATCTCTCCCTTCTCTCTCTTCACAAGTTTGCCCTCTGCACATCGCTCCACAACCTCCCTCTCATTCACCGCAATTCGGATCCGACCCTCCCCCCAGGCCGGATCTCGATCACGCCCCCCGCCAACACCAGACCACCCGAACCCGGAGAGCCTGTGGCTCGGCGCACCCGCACGCTTTTGCACCCTGATCCTACACCGCGGCACTGGCCACGCTCTCCCACACTCCATAGCCCCCGCATTGGCACGAACACCCCCAGCCGCCAGTGCCCTCTGCCCAAAAGCTCCCCCCCCCCGGTTCCAGACCCGCGCACGCCCCGTATCGTCGCCACGATGCATCGTGCATCAGGCCTGGCGCCATGCCAGTGCTGCCCACTTGCCCACTTGCCCACTACGCGCATAGCGCAGCCGCTTTCCCCCATTCCCAATCTCCCATGGGCAGGGTTCATCCTCAGCCCCCGGCGCCGCGATAGCGGGCCCATCGCCAGACTCGCCAACGCACACTCGCGAATCACGACACGAGAATGCCTATCGCGCACCGCTACGCGAGGCCTCGCGACCTGCAGCCCGCACGCCCGAATTGGCAACGGCTAGCACCCCGGGAAGTGCGGGCATCGAATGCGCTGCATATTCAATCGCGCACGCGGACATTGCAAATACGCGTTCGCTCTCATCTCATCTCATCTTCATTTGCATTTGCATTTGCATTTTCATATGCACAGGAGCGGGGGCAGGCCCGGCGTGAAGGGGGGCCACCATTGCCAGGAAGCGCGCGCGCATTTGGCACCTGCCGCCCGGGGCGGCGGGCGAGCCCGAGCTTATCAGGCAGTGCAGTAGATGGGCAGATGGGCATCATTGCGGCCATAATCATATGCCATTATGCTATTGGGAGGGCCCGGGAGCCCCAGAAGCGCACTCGCACTCGCATAGTGCGTGCACGCGGGGCGCTGATTCATGTCGTGTCTCGGTGTCTCGGTGTCTTGTTCAGGGAAGCCAGGATGCACGGTTGACACTACACTGACGTACGCACGGGGCACACGAGGCGTCGCGTAGGGCTATGACTCGAGAGGGAGACGGGAGATGGGAAGCGTCGATGTACATGTACATACCAGGATCGGGCTGACAGACGGAGCGCGCGCGTCGAGTGGGTCTACTACATACGAAGAGGCTAGAGGCTGCCCGCCAGATTCGCGCGAGAGACCCGTCGATAGGGGAAGAGGAATACAAGCAGCACACGGACTCACCCATATATCCAACACTAGTGGCAGTGGACATGCACTCGCCACAGACAGACAGACAGACCGACCACGTAAGGGCACAGAACATCCGTCGCATTCAGCCATACTAACTACGGCGCGTACGATATGCGTGCTAAGCGGGACACAAAAAAGCGGTCGTAACGGGTCCTAAGGGTTCGTGAGTATCGTAAAGGGAAAACACGTTCCGATCTATCGTGAGAGAGCTCCAGATCCGTATGGCTGGGATAGGATATAGGATGTAGGATGGTGGTGGGGCGCGGAGGGCAATTAGGGGTGGGTGGGTACGGGGCACAGAAGATGAGAAGACGGGAAGAGAAGAAGCAAAGGAGACAGCAATTTGCTACACGGGGGGTAGTGAAACGGGCTGGGAGAACGTTCGAGTCGCGAGACGAGAGCAGGCTATAGACAGACAGACAGACAGACAGACAGACAGACGAGGAGATGGAGACGAGGGAAACGGGAACATCCGCAATCCGGGGACAAAGGGGACAGGGTAAAAGGGATACGAGGCACGAGATTAGGTAGGGGACGCTCCACATAGATATATCCACAAAACGGGCCAAGATGAAAAGGCAAAACAGAATGGGATAAGAAATAACGCAAACGAAAACCATAAAGTCGGGACCCGGGAAACCCAATAGCGTGGCGCGCAAACTTGCGCGCCGAGGGAAGGGAAGGCGGACAACGGGCAGACGGACCTGTGCAGGGCGTCGAGCAGAAGTATAACGTGGAGCGAGTCAACGAGTCCGGCGCGGGAATCAATCCGCGCGCGCGGGGCGGGTCGGAGGTGGAGGCGAAGGCGGGGATAGAGGCGGTAGCGCGAGCAACTAGGCGTCTAGTACCATAGCGGGCGATGTAATCAAAGTCGTAGCGAGGCGCAGCGGGGCGAGCTGCAGAACGAGGATCCAGACAAGCAATAACTGACACCACCAGACGGGCGGATAAATAGCGTGCGTGCGCGGGCGTGCTCACGCGCGGGGCGACGGCGCCGGCGTCTTCTGGCGCAGCGCCGGCGGCCACGCGGCGAGCTTCGAGTGCGGCGGGCTGCTCGCAGCCGCGTCGATCGTCGGCATCCAGCGCTGGATCAGCTGGTGGTGCGCGCGCTCGCGCTCGCGCAGCCGCTCCTTTTCCTTTTCTCTCTCCCTCTCCCTCTCTCTTTCATCGGAGCCGTAACCAGAACCAGACGAGCCCG